CTTACCATTTCCAGCACTTCCGGTGGAGCAACAGTAACATCCGGTTGTACTGTCACTGGAACCAAGCATCTGCTGCGCTCATCCCGCTCCCAACCAAACTGGACAGGATCTAACGCTGGAGGTTCGTAGCTCGTAGCATATTTCCAGATGGCAGTCTGAATGTGTGCCCTTCGAACGTTCTCCTCGAAAGCCTCTGTAGTAGGAGGGAGTGACCTTAGGTCTGGAGCCTTTGTCACCGTCTTTGAACCCATTCGTCGACGCCAAACTTCTCCACGGACCTCTGACATGTTGAAGAAGCGACAGCATTCATGGCTGCCCACCACGCTTTTGACTCCGTAGCAGGCAGCCATGAATGCTGTCGCTTCTTCAATGATGTCCCCGATGTCCTCAGATAACACGCCTAATTTATGGAGTTCTACACCACTCGTAAGGACTTTGATGACGGTGCTTTTTCCTACTCCGAAGCACTGAGCCACAGTGTCACAGCCAGAGAGAGCATGAGCGGCTGGCAGTTGTGAAAGCAAGTGGCCATGTTCGCTTGCAGTTGCTCCAATGTCGATAGTAGTTCGTTCAGCACTCGGTCCTTCCATTGTAAGGCGACAAGTCAGGTTCAACTGTGCGTAGTAGTGCAGCAGGAGAACGAAAACGTCTGTGTCCTCACATACGATGTTGATTCTTCTTGCACCACTTTCAGCTGCCTTAACCATCTGCTGTACGATTATTACATCTGCTTCTTCGTGGCAAGTCAGGAGATCTTCTCTGCGGAAGACAATGCCATCCTGAATCACAACTGGTACAGGGTCAGTAGTGGTAATGACCAGACTGACTGTGTTCATTCGGCTCGTCCTGTGCTCTCTGAATCAGATTCTGACATATCAGATCTATGATCTGTACCTTATTCACAGGTACTGCAAGGACAACCTTCTGAGGTGGCAATGGGGTATGCAACTGCAGTTTGTGTCGTCGGCTTCCTTGTTCACCTGCTCGAGCTGCCCGCGTTCCACTCTTAATGCTGAAGTCGAAGTAGCGATCAAAGATCAGGTATGTGTCCTGGTTGGCCACCCTTTCCATCACATTCTTGGTGAAGGCGTTGACGAAATCGGCCACAGTTCCTTGATTGGGCCAGTGTATAACCCAAAGGAGAGCACAGCCATCCAATATCTCTACCTCTGGTTTCTCAACCAAACGCTGTGACACAGTCACCTGCAGCTTCTTCTTCAGCGTGGATTTTGTGGTTGCGATTCTCATATTGCCTTCATCATCAAACATTGAGGTAGGTACGGGTGACAATTCATGCGCGAGGACAGATTTGATATCAATGTCTCGAGACTGTTGCAACCCTAGTACCCGTGAATAGATCAGATTCGTGTCATACACTTTACTGTTCCCCACCTTTACTGACTTTCTCTTCGCTGCCATGGTCACTACCAACTTGGATAAGGACGCGTTAAAACCGCCGGGCCAGCTCTTTTCAAATGACACAAGTTGATCATTGCCAATATCGACTGCGTCATGTGCGTTCACCGTCTCAGGTGCAATCTGGCCAGTCACGACATTGATCAAACCGGCAGGATGACCAGTGGGATCCAGGGGATCGATGCAGGTAAGAAGTTTATCTCGTATCTTGTCTCTGTCCTTGGCATCAGAAGTGATGCGTGATGGCTTCTCTTCTTTGTGACTTGTCACCTCCTTCTCTCCACTGTCATCCGACATGTCTGCAATATCTTGAACGATCATGCTGCAGCTGTGCATACTGTAAGCCCATCGTTTCAGGGTATCCGGCTTCAGGGTTATGCCTATGATTCCATTTGGACCATGCCCATAACGCATGAAGGTTGTCTCTATCCACATGTCGGACCAGATTCCGTTCCAGATTCCCGGCTTGTGACGCATGGTGTGTTCACCTCTCATGAAGCACTGAAGCACTTCAGGTGGGAGACGCTGCATTGCCCTCAGGTAGTACAGTCCGTATCTCGCGTAGTTGAAGTGAGCAGAGGCAAAAAAGTATGGCATCATTTGCTCTACTGCCCAGAGGTGGAGTGGCCAGTCTGCCTCTCGTTCTGCCCGCACAAATACCATCATGATGAAGACAGGTTTTATCAGGTTCTGAACCCAGAGGCGAGTTGTGATGCTTCTTGAGGAGATGCTTTCAAGCGCTCCAAGCATCTCGTAGTGACTTTCGCAACCTCCCAGATGTGGACGCAGCAGCTCTTCTGTCACTAACCGAAGGGCTCTGAAGTTCTGTGGGAACTTTTTCCCCGACAGCATGTGTGCCACACCCCCAAAACACGACTTCATGATATCCTCGAGTCCACTGTCTGCCATCAACACGCCAACACAGCCAATGAAACTCATGAGCATGTGCATACCTCCGAGCCTCGGGATGAAATCTGAGAATCTCTCTTGGTAAACCCATTTCACATTGACTGCAACTTTGTAGAGCTGCTGATCATTTGTCAGAATAGTAATGCCCTGTCCACATTCCTTCGTTAGGCGTTGAGCTTCGGTCATGGCTGTGAGCATGGAGTCTGGGTGGGCTGGATTCATATCAATCAATGGAAGATACACCGCCTTTGTCGCTGGTTTCACACTCTGTCCTTGCTCTCTACACAACTTGGTGTTGAAGCCACCAAACTCTACAGGGTTTGTACTTGTGGCAACACATTTGAAGAACTCGAAGTCTAGATGACGGGCCCTTTCTAAGGCAACGACTTGGTGCGCCAAAACTTTGAGTGGTAAGACAGAGCGATTCACTTCACTTGGAGGCATGTTCGGCTTCTTAGGACCATAGTATCTCTGGACAGGGATATCTTCGATCGTCTGTTCTTTCATCTCGTCCTTTCTTATGCGGCGAAATGTCTGGCCTTTGCCATCATCTTTACCGTGCTTATCTACAAATGTCAGTAGCATTGCGAGCGAGTGTGTGGACAGCAGTCCATTCTGTGATGAAATCTGTGCATCGAAATTGTCAGAGACAAGCTGAACTAGACTGTTCTCAGCATGGACATGTCCTCTTAACGATGCATTGCTTACAGCAGCCGCTGCTGCAGATGCTTTGAACCTAAGAACTTCATCATAGCTGCAAGATGCAAGGAACTCATGGAATTGCTCAATCAACCCTTTCCTGTTCAAGAAAACACCGAGCGCAATCTGGAGGGTTGTGAATGAACCACTTATGGCATTAGTAACAATGTTTCCGATGAGAGCGGCTGGTAAGGTGTGGTCCAACTTTGTAGACAGCTTTGATAGCAGCGATAACAAAGTAGGACTGACACAATCAGTCGCAAGGTCCATGTCAATTCTGGCATGATAGGTCTTGTCTGATAGTTCATCGACTGATGATTCCTTTACATCACGGATAATCTGGTTGGCTACCTTTTCTAGTCCAATCTCAACATCATCTTCATCACTGCTCGGCACTAGTCTCAACAAACTGGATGCTTTACTTCGAAACACGAAAAGACTGGCTACACCTGTGCCACTCAGCATGAGAAGATCTGAACCAAAGTAGTCTAACAACTTAGAGACTAAAGTTCGGCGACTAATGTGTCTTCCACCATTGAACTTGTATAGATCGTACAGTTCGATGGAATTCCACACTCTCGATGATTCTGCTCTCACTGCACTGACTGTGGCTTCAAAAGCCGCATCAACTTCCTCTTGAGAACTACTAGATGCTACCAAAGCTGACTTCACTGACCTAGGCGAACAAAACTTACTGTAACAATCTGTGTGGTATCGACCATCTGCTGCATGCAGATCACTCACTGCCCCAGCCAAACGTGTCTCTACCTCGCGTCCCCAGTTGTCGTTGCGAGATCTACAGGCATCTAGAATGGCTTCCTTAAAGGTCTTTCTCCCCTCACCACGTTCCGCTGTCCTACAAACAACAACCCTGCGCCAACGATCCGGATGCTGGTATCAATGTCAAGGCATTGCTCACCACAGAAAGGCAATGTTGGCAAGGTTGTCGATCCTGACCGACGGAGACGTTTTACTGTAGATGTCTCTTCAGAACTTTTTGAGTTCAATTTATTCAAGTGTCTCTTGATGTGTGATTTGGATGTATACGTGGATACACAATCTCTGTGACAAAGCACCTGTACTTGTTTGTCTGTCAACAGTCTAGTTTCAAGATTTTCATGGAGGTCATCTAATCTCTGTTTACTTGATTCAATGATAGTCCGTATCCTGTCAGTCCCTGCTACGCTGAGCTCCTTGTTCCAATTTTCTTTACAAAAAATGCAACTGTTACACTCTTCCATCTGTCAGCTCTACCTGGAAGAGAAGATATAGAGGGGTCCTAATGCTGACCTAATTCCAAACTACTTTGAAAATTCGTTGTTGCGGCGTCATACATGGTTACCTGTACCTAGAAATACCGATAGGAATGTTCAAAATGATATAATGTGTACAAAGAATTATTAGACTCTTGATAAACCTCCACCTGTGCCTTACCTGCGTCCCTATGTAGGCAGAATTTAGCTCGAACTTGACGTCCTGTCAGACGACGGCATTCCGCAGTTTCCCGCCATTTTAACAATCACGTGACTTAAAATCATGTGATCGCAGGTAAACGTACAGCACTGCACAACGCTGTTGCCGTAGATTAAGTCGCGTAATGATAAAAAGAGAACATTTGGGACAGGAATCGGCCTTTGTCTCGTGAAAAATAAATGGTAATCAAAGAACTTTGCTATTCTTTAGTTGTAGATCAATTTATTGATATTTCAATCGATACATTTTCTTCACAGATTGTTCTGTACTTACTAGTTCGGCACACAGACAAAATTACGCTTGGTTGCAAAGTGCTACACTGAAGTAAACTACGCATCTGTGCAGCTCCGTGAATCTTTAATCGTTATTATTTTATATTGAACAGGTTTTTGGTCAGATCAGATAAACTATAAGCAATGGCATGTGCCTTCACATGGAACATGGTTTGGAATTAGACTCCCGCCAGGCGCGTCAATAACAGAGGGTGTCTGCCTTTCTCAGGCCGTCCTTACTGATACTAGTATAGTTAGTAATAACGGTCCTTTTGTGCAGAAAATTATTAAAAATTAGTATGATTAATACTGAATTGGTTAAGTCGAATTGTTTACAGACTAAAAGCTGTGTATAGATACAACAATCATTTTAACACCATGTGTAGTTACTGAGATATTGACGTAATGTCAAAGTCAAGATTGTCAGTGTATGGTGGGCTTAATATGCCTATCCAGCACAAAATGTTGGTGTAATCTTAACTAGAATAACTTGGCCAGATTCTTTACCCTTCAAAACATGTGTATAGACACCAAAAATGTTCTGATACTATGTGTAGTTACTGCGATATTGACGAAAACCCGATTTTCAGTAATGCCCGCCCTAATTTGCATATTGTGCGGCCTTAATTTGCGTATTTAGCACAAAATACTGGTTTGATCTTCACTGAAATGGCTTGATCTGATTCCTTATCCCTCAAAACATGGGGACAGACACCAAAATTGTTCTGATACGATGTGTAGTTACTGAGATATTGACGAAAACCCGATTTTCAGTAATGGCCGCCCTAATTTGCATATTGTGCGGATTGCCCAAGGATGACAGAGTGGCATCATTCAGATTCTGAAAGAGCACACCTCAGAGATATAGAAACACCAAAAAAACTTTGTATGGACCGTATTGCAAGGTTCTCCAAAAATCGGGGGTTTGGCAACCGGACTAGATGTTTGTATATTGTGTGGAACAATTTTGTATAACTGAGAAAGTTTTTATTACATCTAGAAAGTGTTTGTTGCAGTCAGTTGTGGTATCATCTATCTATGAAAGCTTGATGGCGTTATATATAGGTGTAGTGCAGGTATGGTTTACATGTGTGTCAGTTTGCTTGTATGAGTTACTCGAAGGTAAAACAGCTGTTATGTAACAGTTCTAGAAGCTCTGGGTACAGAGTAAGTTTTTCTAGTCACCCTGGGGGCATTTATTATTATTGTTGTAGTCAGTGTGACTATGATACCATCTATCTTATGAAAGCTTGATGACTTAACATAGTTAAAATATGATTAGTGTATGTGTCAGTTTTGTTACTATGAGTGAGATGTGAATTAACCTGAAATGAATTTCGAACTTCAATTTTTCTTTTATTTAAAGCACCTTGTAATCACCTCCTCTGTGATTTTAGATGCTCGGTCTCCAGTCCAGGACACGGAAGACCCAGAGGGAAATGAGAGAGATCTGAACACAAGTAAAAACTCTATCAGTATGCCTAATTATGCATGTCATCAGATGTTTGTTTCACATAAGATTATAATGGTGTAATCCAACAATAGTTTTATCAAGTTGGTAATGTACACAACCAAACTATTCCTACCTTGCTGACGTTTTGTTGTCTATCAGACACCTTCCTCATAGAGCTTCTGACCGGAGTTCTGCTTCTCGCCGCTAGAACACAATCCCAACACCTCGTCCTGGTTCATGACTGGGGCCGACTTCCTTATCCAGACCGCTTCTTTAATCCATCAGATTCTCCTAAGCTGTTGTCTTCTCTATCAGTGACCTCAATATTGTGTATTATCACTAATCGTTCTCTATGATAAATAAGTATTATGTATTATATGTATGTCCACAGAGGATGCCACATATGGCCTTCAGGAGCTGACAGAAGATGGTGACGTCACAGTTACAACTTCTCTGAGAGGTCAGGTTCTGAGTAATTTTGTTCTTGGTGTGTCTGTTTGTCTGTGTTTCCACAGTTATATCCATATTTTACATAATTATATTAGATTTCAGAACCTATATCAATGTCCTTTGGGCACAGCATTTTGTAAGGCATACTTTCTAAGAATGATACGTCAGTGCATATGGGACAGACTTTTGAAGTAGGTGTGCTCCAGACTTTTTCAAAATCTTTTCAAAATCAAAATCTATCCCACATTGCTTCAGTAACTGCTACTTTGGTATTACCTGGATGGCTAACCTTCATTTATGCTCCTAAATTAGATAATTATATTAAATTAAACTTGTTGAAACATGATGAAAAAGGTACAAACTTAAGCAAGTCTCAGCAACAAGTATCGTTTTATGTTAAACTTTGCTGTATCAGTAACAATTCTAATGATGATAAAAATGTTACTGGATATTTGTTGTGCTTTTGATTTCAGTTAAGAGCTCCAGGAAGATTAGCTACACATATCTGCTGTGTATGAAAGTTAATGATGTTGATAAAGTTACTTTTTGAGTGTTGTAAGACTTGTGTTTTGACCCTACAGAAGAGGAAGAGGATCTGTACAAGGAGACACCAGTGTAACCTCAGAGAGGCTGCTGTATCCTGCAGTTACATCATGGACATGGACTCTTGGTATTTTAAAATTGGCAGTATTTACCAAGTCGATGTGTTCAGTCTGTATTAGGACCGTATTTTTCTAGCCTGGTAATCATTTATACTCAGTACCTTTCAATGTTACAAAAACTGTTCTTAAGGCCACAATAAGTTAATCAATTGGTTCTTGCAAAGTTCAAGAGTCATTGTTTGCATTGGAAACTAGCCTAAGTCTATTATGTTGACTTCATGGCTCCTATAGCCTAGAAGTCCCTCTGTAGCATTTGGGGGTACCATAGAATGTGAGCAATAAGTTTGTGCAAGGTTGGTCCCAGAAAATAGTGAATTTCAAAGTCTTCAGAAAGATTCAAATACAGTATTCCATCAGATATTTTTAGGATTAAGAAGATTGTATTTTAGTGTGAAATGATATTTTCACCCTCAATAACATTAAAGGTAAAAAGTTATGGATTACATTAATTATTTTACATTATTGATAGATTTTTTAGATTAGCTTGCCTTGTAGATAGGGCTTCTAACTGTCTTCTTTCTCTGCTTAGCACTCTGCGCTTGAGTATATGACTTAGTCTGCACTAAAAGTGGACTATCCCCCAGTGCTGTAGTGCTTGCACAACTGTGTGGCCCAAGGGTATAGAACTGTGGGCCCTGAAAAGTGTAGGAAGTATTTAACTTCTAACAAGGCATCTAAGTGTGTCATGTAATGTATTGCTGTTGGAGGCAATTCTCTGAGAAAAGTATCATAAGTTGTAATTCAGTCTCAGAGATTTTCCAGGGTCTTCCAAAGGCAAGTACATATATGTATTTCTATCATGTCCAGGCCTTGGTAGTACATTTTACATGTTCTTATTCAGGTCTGCCAGTTAGTATAGAAGTCTGGTCCATTATATTTGTCCATTAGAGATGGCCTGAGCACTACAGCAGGCTAGCACTTCTTCACAAAACTAGCTTAGCTTCCAACAAACACATGGTGCTTGTGGGAACTGCAGCCATATCACCTGGTCACCTACTGTTGCTGGGCTGATGGGTTGGGTAATTACATGTAAGTCAACCTTGGAGACGTAAAGGAAAGCAAAACTGCCTCTTTACGACGATACAAATTATAACATAATTCAATGCTTACCGCACTATACCATAATCCAGAGGGAAACTACTAGACAGTATTATTTATGGCAAGAAAATGAAGATGAAATAGCCTTTATATCAATTAGTGTTCAGGCTCTCCCATTACTGAGGCTCATTTGAACATGTTTTTAAAGTTTTGCTTGATGACTAATAATTACCCAAGGTGTGGAAAGGTGAAATGTTTCTTTCCTAACTTCATGTACATTGGATGTAGTTCTTCTTCTCTACAAGTGTGCCTTCCTGCATGTAAGTGTGGAGGCTGCTTTTTTTGCATAATATTGTTGCATATTTTTGTCTTTTTATACAAATGTACAATCAACAGTCATGTAGTTTGTGTGAGTGCAATAAGATTCTATATAGAAGTTAAGGCATCTTTGCTTCGGCACCTTTCTTGCAAATGCTGCTCTTGCCATTATTTTGCTGCATGATGTTCCAGGCATTGGCCTGACTTGCCTTTCGCACCCAACTGGACCTTGTTTTAAAGTCATGCAGTTTTCTGCTTGTTTCTGTGGTTTAACTGCTTGGTCTCCAGAACATTTTAATAGAATCAGAACTTTATCATAAAATCCCGTACATAGTTAGAGAAAGAAACAGAGGCTTAAGATCTAAATTATAAAGTGTAATAAATTATCTATAAGTGTGATCCTTTGAATGATTTGTATGACATGGTATGACTATATCTTTTGAAAATGCTGCAAATAGCCTTTTGTTGAGCAATGCCATAGCTAATTTCTATTGAATGTGCAAAGTAAGCATGCACCATGATTTAATGCTGTAACTAGTGTAAGAGTTATAGAATGATGCATATTTAATTGTTATCATGAAAAAAAGGTTTTGATACTACATGTAAAAAGGTTTTTGGTACTAAAAAAGGTTTTGATACTAAAAAAAGGTTTTGATTCTCAGAAGTTATATGTAGAAACCTGAAACTAACAACTTAAGAGTTTTAGACATATATGTGGTTACTGGCCATTAGGATACATTGTTAGTAGCTTTTATGATTTTATAGGACTGGTACGTTTTGAATATTGCAGAACTTGGAGCTCATGTAAAAGTTAATATTATATAGTGGTACTAACATCACGGTGTTAAGTGTTCCTCAGTGGTCTCTGGGTTACATAAGTTGTCTTATTTTCTGTGCAACTCTAATTTCAGATTTATGTTTTTGTAAATTTATGTTTTTATTATGTTTTTACTATCATTAGTCTGCAACCGCTACCCAGTACTCATGGTTGTCAAGGAGCTTCCATCAAAATGAGTGTTTCTGTAACAATCAGAAGTTGGGTCATGATCAGTTGGAGCTTAAAACAGCAGGAAACGTAGGAATGATGAATGTAACTGAGTACAGAAATACATTTGGATTCTTTTTTAAACCATTGCACATTGTGTGTTAGAACATGCTTGTTGTTACCCAGATTGTTTACTATTTATGCCTAACTGGTTTAAGAGTAACTCTTTGAATCTGAAACTCAGGTTTACATTACTTTTTTTATGATGATTAGGATCGGAAGTCGGAACTGCAATGTCTGCAATGACTCACAGACAAACAGTACAGTAACTGTGAGTGTGTGTGAATGAGTGTGCGTGAAAGTGTGTCAATGAAATTATGAATGTGTGTGTGTTTGTGAATGAGTGTGTGTGTGTGTGTGTGTGTGTGTGTGAATGAGTGTGAATGGAAATGAGTGTGTGTGTGTGTGTGAATGTGTGTGTGAATGAGTGTGTATGTGTGTGTGTATGAATGAGTGAATGAGTGTGTATGTGTGTGTGTATGAATGAGTGAATGTGTGTGTGTGAATGTCAGTGTGAATGAGTGTGTGTGTGTGTGTGAATGAGAGTGAGTGAATGAGTGCCAAAACTGTTACTCAAGCAACTGGATATGATTTTGAAAATCATAACCAGTTGCTTTCAAAGGATCGGAAGTCGGAACTGCAATGTCTGCAATGACTCACAGACAAACAGTACAGTAACTGTGAGTGTGTGTGAATGAGTGTGCGTGAAAGTGTGTCAATGACAAACACTCATTCACAAACACACACACATTTCAAAATCATATCCAGTTGCTTGAGTAACTGTTTTTTGGCATATCATTGTTACCTGGATGTCTAACCTTCATCGACGTGAGTGAATGAGTGTTTGTGTGTGTGTGTGTGTGAATGAGAGAGTGAGTGAATGAGTGTGTGTGTATGAAATTCTATGAATGAGTGGATAAGTGAGAATAAGTGAGTGAGTGAGTGAATGAGTGAGTGATACAATATTGAAGTGCAAAGTTCTACAAAGACCTGTCCTTGTCCCCTTTGCCCTACTTGGAATGCCCCCCAGCATGTCAGAGGTGTAACCCCAGAATTGTATCCAGAACCGGCTCAGACATGATTCAGACATAAATATTGCCCAGATTTTTTAATGCCCACATCATGTCCTGCATCCATGCATATCACCATTAGTAATTCTCTAAAATTTAAAAAACATAACAGACTTAAAAGCTGACTTACAATAGTAATTGATCCAAACCATTACCTTACCTCTCGGTATCTCAGTTTAATATAATACCTATGCAGTACTGCTCCATCCATGTACCCTAAAAAGTTGATTTAAGCCAAAACAATCTACAAATGATACATTTCATATTAACACATGCCAAAACAAAGAAAAAAAAAACTCATTTGACAAGTAACAATTGAGGAGTGTATGAAATCCTTGACCTCCAGTTTAACACTACCTTGGTACATGTCCCTATCAATTTCTGTATACAAATAACTGTATAATACGTAATAATATGTCCCAACTATGAAAGCCCTAATCCTTGCACAAAAGGCTGAACTGGAATTTTCTTAGCATTTATTATATTTTGCACAATCTTTGTCTAATAGTATATAATTGATATAATCATTTCACCTTCATTCCACTTCGTAAGTATGGAATTCCCATCATTTATGTACATTCAAATTAATCCTGATAATAATGAATTTCCTAGTCAATTATGAAAATCAGGTCGTGATTTGCATATTTATCAGCTGTGTCCATCTTATTTAGTACCTTAACACCAAAAATCATACAAATTCTGTCTCATTCACTTATGAAATCTACGTACTAGTTCCTGTTAGACTCACCTTAAAATCTGAATACACAGCTGCTCATAAGTGTTATAGGAAGGCCATAGCATTGCATTATGCTTTGTTATATTTACTAGTACATCTTCTAGTGTGTACATTATTGCAATATCTATTAGAATTACTTCATATGCATAGCTAAGCTTTGTTGACCAAGTCTTTGCTTCTAAGAACAGCTGGGCAGCCTTTGGTACTGTCAGATCCAGCAGGTGCATGTGTGGCTGTGGATTTCCTTCTTCCAGCATCAGCAGTTTCTGTTGTGTGTGTGGGTGGGGGGGGGGGAGGGGGGGAGAGACAGGTTTGTTCAGTTAAAACTTTTGATCCAACACAAAGAAATTTTCCCACCTAGAATTTGACCAGTCACTCTGGTCTTCCTCAGTAGACTGACCCAGTGAGACTCATCATCACATGGCTACTCTGAAGTGTAATTGTAGGGGCAGCAATCTTTAATTATAGAATCTTCTAAGTTACGAGAAGCAGGTTAGGGCAAATCATTATTAAACAGCCTTTCCTGAACACAGCTTACACATTGGGACTGACTCGAAAGAAAATTTAAAGTAGAAAGCAATAGAATTTGGATTTTTCTGAAAGAACATACCAAGAAATGGATCTTTCACTGCCCCTTCTGGCTGAAGTTCACTAGCTGCTCTGTTGTTGTGCAGCACAGTCTGTGTAAGAAGGACAAAGAGAGGGGTTAATGTTTTACTTATCAGAGTGTGTCTAGTTACTCCATACAATCATAAGTTCACCTGGAACATGCAGCTCCAGCACATTTAGGGCCAGTTTCACACATAATCTGATCTAAGATGCCCTGACTCTCTCACACTCGGTATTTATTTATTTTTACAGTCACTGTTGGGCTTTATCGATATTCTTGGTGAGCAGTTATATTTCAGTCAGTACAATAATTATAGTACAGTACGAATTATATATATAATAGTAAGTTCAATCTATGTTAATATAGTAAACAAACCATCCCTGCCCACAAGCAGTGAAACCATTGACTGTATATTATTGGTACTTTTAGCTTAAGGCTGGATCCAATAGGGCCAACTACTGGAGAGACAATGTTTTATTTTCTTTGGGCACACAGAAAGCATGGCAGAAAGTGGTGCAGCATTCTCCTGAACATAACAACACATTTTGTTCTTAACATTTATTGGCACACTGTAGCTGTTTTGCTACCAATATTCAGCAGGGACAAGGCTAAAAAACAAGAGCAAAATTGAATACTCTCAAACATGTGAAATTGCATAAAATCAATTATATATTATAATTTAACATAACAACACATTCTAAAGAGAAAGATGGGTGCGTGAATATGGTTGTACCTGTGATGCCGCAGGCTCGCAGGAACACTTTCTCTGAGTCCTCCCAGTACTTGGACTTCAGAAGCGCATCTTTGAACTTGTTTGCCTGGTAGAATGCTGTGTCGGTGTCGGTCAGGGTTTCGCGGATTTTGAGTGCCCACGTTTCAGCAGTTTTGTCCATGTCGCAGTCTCGCATACTGGTCTCCACGATTCTGTTTTTGAGGCCTGCTGGCAACTTGTCATCGGCAACAAACTTTTCAATCATATCCGCCAGTCCTGACTTGTCGGAGATGAGGACGGGGATGCCAGCTGCGATGGCCTCCAGGCCGACCAGCCCAAACGGCTCGGAGCGGGACGGCATCAGGACCAGGTGGGCTGTCATCATGTCGTCCCTGATCTCCTCCTGGGTCCCGTACGGCCGCAGGGTGAGCTTCAGGTCACCGCTGTCCAGGTTGGCCTCCAGGATCTTCAAGCTCTTCTCCCAATCATCCTTGCTGATTCCACGCGTGATCCATCGCAGAGACTTCAGATACTTCCTGGCAATCCCGATGGCCCTTGCTGCAAGGTTGTAACCCTTTAGATTCTCAGCATTCTTCACTCTCCCGATACACAGGACCACCTTCTCACCTTTACCACTACCACTACCAGGTTGGATGGTGGCTTCTGCAAATATCTTGGATGGCCTTGGGAAGAACATGTGGTGCTCTTTTGGTTTCTTGCTTCCTCTGTACTTATTCTCAAAATGATTAAAGATCCGCTCTCCCACTGAGAAAGCTGCCTTTGCGTTGTCAACTTGATCGACCATAGCATCCTCTTTCTCTGAAGCTTTGATGGCCCTCTGACCTCCCTTGAAATACTCGGTGTCCTCGGGTAAGACGTGGGTGAACATGATGAGGTCTGCCTTTGGATAGAGTTGATCCTTGATGTTTCGTGCCGCAGTATCTGTGATGTCAGCGTGGCCGATGATGCAGGTGACGTCCTTGGGGAGGTTTGGGAAGTGGACGCTGTGGTAGTCGGTCAGCCAGTCTAGTGTTGGCTCTGTCTTACCTCGTGGATCTGGCTGTATCAGGATGACGCCGTCTCTGTTTGCTGCCTCCTGGTCTTGTTTGGGTACCTTCAGCTGTAGGACTGTGCAGTACACAACTGCCTTGCCCTGCAGAGTTTGGCTCGCCTGGCAGTTGATGGTAGAAATCCCCCCCTTGGAAGTCCCATACTCGTCGTTGATCAACAATATTACTCTGATACCTGTAGGAAAAAACATCATGTTGAAGTCCGATAATGCAGAACCATGGTATATAAGTAATTGAATTCATTTAATGTATAAATGTTATCTTTTAACTTTAACTTATGTCATAAAATAGTAAAATCAACATTATAAAAACGTATCTGCCTGAATCCTCGTGACTGGAGATTCTCACTTTTTCAATCGCTCACCATCAAGACTAGCATGAACAATTCCTATTATGTACACATACACAAGACCTTAGCCTCTTTTTTTGTTGGTTCCAGAATATACCATATTGTCTTCACATGCAAATAAGTTGGTACAACTATTCTTAGAATATGGCTTGTCATGTTAACGAAGTTGTGTCCGTGCCTGTTCTGTGCTATTCACTGAAACACGTTTGCTACATATTGAGGCTTGTTGTATGAAGAACCGTGCCTGATCATATCCCTAATTCAATCAGGCAGAGAACTACATGTAGATGGGCATGGTTCTGGATACAATACGGCTCAATTCAAGCAAAACAAAATGGCCACCAACTAACCTTGGAACGTCACAGCAGATTCGTCTTTTCCATCTTTCAACTTCTTTGGAGGGTTTCCAGGCATGTCGTGGTCCTGGGATCTTTTGACTTGATGGGAACTTTCTGTAAATGAAACAAGATACGTCAATGTCAGATGTGAATTGTACCCTTCTAAGCGCTTATTGCCAGATTCCAGCCTCCCAACTCGAAGTTCTTTAGACAGCCCGTATCCTCAAACTTTCAGCACAATCTGAAATGGACTGAGCACGTTTTCACGATCGCCACTGAGGGGAGTGAAAGACTTAATGTCCTAAAACAGTTGACCTTTCACTAATCCATATAGAAATTTCTAATTGATTATGCAAATCAGCTCCAGATTTCCATGATCATCATCTAATTATGTAAAGTATCACTTAAGCTACCTACGCACTAAAATGTGACGTACGTATCATGACTATCCGTCATTGAGTTATCCTCCCACGAAGATTAAAAAAAAAAACTGCCCTGCAGTTACAGAGCAAGTTGAGATGGGACCTTAACTCGTATGACTTCTTCCCTAGCCCAAGAGCTACATGTATCTACCAACTAAAAATCATGTCCAGATCGCGAGATATCAAAACCGATGTTCTGCTGCAGTACCTAGGAAAGGAACCGGGGGCTCTAGTTCTAATCATTTTTAGTTCTGATCATCAAGACCTACCCACCTACCAAGTTTCATGACAATCTTCTTGAGTTATCGTGCTAAGCTACATGGCACACATACATACAAACGCTACTGAAAACAAAATCGTCTCGGCGAAGGTAATTAAAATGCACAGCTGGTACACAGTGTCACATATTTGATACATTTTGAGCACATGGCTTAGCCCAAAACAAATTGGCCTCCGACTAACCTCGGGACGTCCCAGCAGATTCATCTTTTCCACCTTTCTTCTCTGGTGGGTTTCCAGTCATGTTGTGGTATTGGGGTCTTTTGAGTTGAGGGGAACTTACTGTAAAAAATGAAAAAAGATACGTAAGAAGTACACCTTGTCCTTCTAAGCCTTTGTTGTCAGAATCAGTAACGAAACATCTACATCAATTGTAAAGTATATACAAGGCTTCAAGCTTAAATATATATGAATTATATGACTCCTTATCAGGAGGTAACCATATCAATATAATGATACGATTGGCTACTTACATTAAATTTTGTATAATTACATATAAACATACCGGAAAATCTGGCAGGTCTGTACACAAGGTCTGCTGATGTTGATGCTGTATACTTGACCCTGGGACACCTGACGTCACGGCCGTCCTCTGCAGTCCGGTCCCTCAGTGCGTGCTGGTACGGCCTGTCCAGTCCTGCCTTGATGCAGTGCGCACAGGTGACGTGGAGGGAGTACAGCACACCTGGCCACTCTTGCAGCAGCTGGAACAGCACATCCAGCAGTGGGTGGACCACGCCCCACATCTCACCTGCCTGGTCCAGCCCGCCTCTGGTTGCCATGGTGATGTAAGTGTCGTCTGAAACAGGTTTGGAACACACTAGTACGGGGTAGTCCTGTCTGTAGGCCATGACTCCATCTTTCCAGTCTACCCTGTCCTCCACATGTTGATGGATCCTAACACTGAACCTCTGAAACAGTCCCCGGGGACAGAATCCTGTGATGTTGCACATCAGCTGCAGCTGCTCCTGATCTTCTGACACTTCATCTGGCCACTCATCTTTCAACTGCTCCGGAATTTGTTTCTCCAGGTACCAGGGTATTTGGTACTTACAACTGTGTTTAGAACAGTCTGTTTTGTCTTTCAACTCAAAGCAAAGACCAAAATGCAGCATCAGAGCTGTAACAACGTCAGGATCGATGTTTGGTGATAGCAAACACGTCATCACCTTCTTCTGAATCAGTCCACAGTCACGTAGATTGATTGCAAAATCCTCAAGCTGTGTGCCGGTAAAATCAGCATTCTTAAGTCTGGGTGTTTTGAAAAGTTTCTCGACATCGTGATGGAACAGATCCTTGAAGATTTCAATCAAGGCGGGAGGATCATGGAAAACCAAGTCCTTGAGTTCCGGTATGTCCGTGTACCTGAGGATGGTTCCCACCTGCTGCAGGTAAGACAGGACTGGCTCCAGTCTGTCCGACGTGAGACCTGCAAGCTGCCCTAGCTGCAAACAGTCTGCTTGTGTCAGCCACGTTGATTTCTTGTCACTTTGAGGATTCAGAGTTGACAAGTCTTTATTGTCAAACGAAGAGTCATCACCGTCACCTGACAAGTCATCACCGTCACCGCTAGTGATTTCCGGTTTCTCTGTTCCCTTGTCACGTAGCTCGTGCATCTGTTGTTCGAAATCCACCCACGTCCGCGGGAGGATCTTTCTAAGCTTTGGAAACAGCTTGGTATTATTTGCTGACTCCAGTATGTGATTCCTTAGCGTGTCCAGCCCAGATGGTTTTGCAGAACTGATGCAGTGCACATTCTTATCTGTAAAACGTAATTGGCATTTCGGAAGGCTTTTTGTGAGTTCTAACTGCTGTTTTATTTCCCTTTGTTCCTCCTTGCTTTTGTCCTCTTTAGATCTTTCCTCGAGTTTCTTTATTTGGCGCTGTGTATTACTTTTCCATGTGTCAATCTGCTGTTGGAACTTTTCTTCGATGTCCTTCACTTTACCATTTATTTCAGCCTCACTGCACATGTCCATCTTGCTGCCCACTATTGTAACCACCGCCCCCGGCACGTGGGCATTCAGTGTGTCCAACCAGAACCCCACATGCTTTTTGTAACTCTCTTCATTGCAGCTGTATTCCTGCAGGTTCACTAATAACAGATGAAAGGCATCTGGAGTCAGAAAGAACTGATGAGTGAGATGGTACACGTCATGGCCGCCAAAGTCGTACACTTCAAACGTGATGTTGTCATCAGGTGCCCACTGAGTTATCTCTACACAGTGTGTGCGGTCCTCTTCTTCTGTCAGGGTGGACTCGCCACTTTCTAGCGTCTGTACCAGGCTTGTTTTTCCCGCCATTGTCTCTCCCAAGACAACAACTTTCAGATGGGCGGATACAACTTCCTCTGAGCGTTCAAGTTCATCAAAGTACTGTCTGATAGCAGCGATCCCCTGACTGCAAACTTCAGCTGGTGGTTTTGTAAGTGGGTTGTCACTAACCTCTATACGACATAGGTCATTCAGCAGACCAACCTTCGCGGGTAACGTCTGTAGGTTGTTATGGCTCAGGCCCAGCCATTCTAACTGTGTCAGTCTCCACACTTCAGGTGGGAGTTTGTGCAGCGCGCACCCGGACAGATCCAAGTGCTTAACGTTAGTGAGTTGTCCGATTTTCGCGGGTAACGTCTGTAGTGGGTTATGGCTCAGGTCCAGCCATTCTAACTGTGTCAGTCTCCCCACTTCAGGTGGGAGTGTGCGCAGCTCGCACTGGGACAGATCCAAGTATTTGAGGTTAGCGAGCTGTCCGATTTCCGCGGGTAACGTCTGTAATTGGGGACAGTACAGGTTCAGCCATTCTAACTGTGTCAGTCTCCCCACTTCAGGTGGGAGTGTGCGCAGTTTGCACCAGGACAGATCCAAGTGTTTGAGGTTAGCGAGCTGTCCGATTTCCGCGGGTAACGTCTGTAGTTCCCGGTTCCAGCTCAGGTCCAGCCATTCTAACTGTGTCAGTCTCCACACTACCTGGGGAACTGTGTCCACGACTGTTTCCGCTAGTTTCAGTACCCGGAGGTTGGTGAGTCCGGCCAGCCCATCCGGCAGGTGTATCAGGATGTTCCCGCTGAGGTCCAGTTCCTCCAGCTGGGGGAGTTTCAGGACTGCCGGTGGAACTGTCTCCATGCCTGTTGCCGCTAATCCTAGTACCCGGAGGTTGGTGAGTCCGGCCAGCCCATCCGGCAGGTGGATCCCGATGTTATAGCTGAGGTCCAGTTTCTCCAGCTGGGGGAGTTTCAGGACTACCGGTGGAACGGTGTCCAGCTTACGGCAACGTAGTCTCAACCCTTTCAATTTGTTCATGTTAGACAACTCATCTGGTAGGGAGATTTTCAATTTTGATTCCCAGTTCGCAGTTATATCCAGCACCTGTAGGTTTGATAGTTTCAGCACTACAGGCGGTAGTGTGTCCAGGTCACACTTGTCCAAGTCCAGGACCGTGAGGTTGGTGAGACCAGACATACCATCCGGCAGGGTGATGTTCTCGTTGTTACTGAGGATCAGCATTTCTAACTGCGGAAGTTTCATCACGGCAGCAGGAACTGTTTTAAGGTTACAGTTATGCAAACTCAGCACTTTTAGATTAGGCAGTTTGGTCAGCTGATTGGAGAGATCGATGTCCTTGTTGTTTGTCAGATCTAAGGCCTCCAATTCCTTTAGTTCAAACACTTCCTCGGGCAGTTGAGCCAGACGGTTGATAGGAATCCCTTCTAATGCATGTTCAATATCATATTTAATTTCACAAGTCAAGTCCAGCGTCAAGAGAGTTCTTTTCCCCATCATGTCCCATTCTTTTGGCTTCATCTTGTTTTTAAGGCTTGACAGTGTAGCCATGCTGATATTTCTAGAATTTTTGTGTGAAAAATATGAAGTAATAATAATTATGATGTTTTATCAGTAGCCTTTTATTTAACCCATATAACAGCTATATTGTAGTAACATGAACATACAGTATATCTCCTGCCAGTTCCTACAGTACATGTCATGATTTTTCACCTTTGCTGAAAAGGTTGATAATTATGCTATAATTATTAGTAACCTTCTATGGCAAAGGTAAAAAATTATAACTGTAATTTGTAAACTGTAACTAGAAAGGCCAATATTTGCTTTGGAGCAAATACAGCGATGGGTTCACCACATTTTACGACATGGCAGGGAAGGAATGAGAAACACAAGGGAAAACAATGATTTACATTGATATAACTATAATATGAAGTAACATACAACTAAAACAACAGTTGGATAGCTATTCCCTACTTTATTGGTTAGGATTTTTAATTGCATAATGCAAACTGTTGATTTAAAAAAAAACACAAAAAAAAACGTTAACATGCCCCGCCATTCCAATGCTGGAGCAGAAAAGCTTGAAATACCTACCAAAACACTTGAATAAAGACATACTGTCAGTATGGAAATGCTCTGTGCAGGTGTTAATCAAGTTAAATCCCAACAGCCAATCAGCAAGAAATGCTCTGTGCAGGTGGAAATGCTCTGTGCAGGTGTTAATCAAGTTAAATCCCAACAACCAATCAGCAAGAAGTATAGAGGAAAGCTGCATGCCTATTGGTTGATGCCCTGCATTCCATTGTGATGACTCATGCCCAGACGTGGTAAACACGGCACACTAACACAGTAATACATTTGCTATAACACAGCCAAAAAACTCAAATAAAACCATTCTAAAAGCCTGTATCACAAAAATTTTAAAAACGCCTAGGGGTATTTGTCCACTGCACCTCCATACCAAATTTCAGGACCTTAGGCCCTAAAATGAAGAAGCTGAATCCATTTAAAAAATGGCAGGAGAAGAAGAAGAAGAAGAAGGAGGAGGAGAAGAAACATCAGAAAAAGCAATATGGGTTCACCACCACTTCGTGGTGTGGTGAACCCATAATTATAAATCTACAGTAACTGTAGGAATTAAGCAGATCTAGAAGATAGTCATGTAATGTTACAGTAACGGTTACTGTATTAGAAATGGAACTGCTGTACAGGTTTAATTGTTAATATACAGGCTTTAGGTGTGCGTGTCTGTCTGGATGTGTTTGTTGTTAGCATAATACACAAAGTCATGGATGGATGTTTATGATATTTGTTCAAGGTAGACGTCAGTAAAACAAAGGACAGGTTCCATCATTGTACACCTGGCAGCTTCCTGGGTACTGCAGCAGAATTTCTCCTCTTGTGTTTATTGCCTGGGTACGTGTTACCAACTTTTAGGTGGCAGGTTGAAAAGTGGTATAGGTTTGGGTCCTCTAGCAGCTTCTTTGGAAATGCAGGAGCCGATTTTGTTTGAGACTTAGGAAGGTTATAAGGCTTGCGGGATGATTTTTCTTAATGTAGGTAGCAATGGCTTATTACTTAAATCAAGAGCTAATTTGCATAATTAACAAGAGTTCCACGATCCCATACCTTCGTTAAATGAAAGATTAGCCTTCTTTACGGCTGATGAATGTTACATGTTATTGATTATGCAAATAAGATTATGCTCATTTGCATAAATTATGTCGATCATATTCTCCACCCAATGACAGTCTTATCTTAACAAAGGCTATTCCAGCATTTTCTCATAAATTATGGAAATGAGGTTTTGATTTGAATCATTTAAATTTTATGATTGTCACCTTAACTTGTAAATGCGTTAAGTATGAAATTGCCGGCAGATGCATTTTCTCATTAATTATGCAAATTAGACCTTCACCTACGAATTGAATTCTGTATCTGGAATAAAAATACTATTACTATGTTCCTCTTGTTCTCAATTACATGTCACAAATTTGAAGTCTTAATCATAGAACACAGCAGATTTATAGAATCTTCTCATTAATTATGCAAATGTGATCCTAATTTACATAATTTTCATCTAATTATGTCAAGACTTAGACCCTGTTCATACCAGACTTATATTTAGCGGTTTCAACCGGTTTTTCAAAAACCCGGCTAAAACCCTTAGCGTTCATACCAGATTTTTGATAACCGGTTTTGTAAAAATCCTGTCCGGTGAATATCCAATTAATCGGCCATGACTGCAGTTTGAATAACCGTTCCTCCCGCTCTTCTGATTGTTGTCCTTGGCCTTCTTGCTTGTATGCCGTCTTCAGTTGTTGTTTTTTTTACCTTACTGCGGCACTGATCCTTTATCTTCAGAAATCAGCCTCCTCCAACATTTTGTTTTGGTAGAGCCCTGCCCCCCCCCCAGCTTTTTCGAATTCGGCGACTCCTGCTCTCCAAACCTAAGTATCAGGAGCGTCTCGTCCGCCGACCAGGTTGCCTTGTTGATTCCATCGCAAAATGAAGAAAAACCGTGGAAAAAAAACCAGTGGAAACGAACTAAGTTGGTCAAAACAACGCGATCAAAAAGCTTGCAGGTCGCACACGGCCAGGATGCTGACCCCGTGACCCCGGAATTATGACGCAAAAACCGGTTCAATAAACCCTTAGCGTTCAGACCAGGTTTTTCGGTGGAAAAACCCCACAATAACCCCTCAAAAACCACCTCCCGAGGTGGTTTTTCAAAATCGGATTTAAACCCCTACAAACCGGTTAATTTCCGTTCACACCAGGTTAAATAAAAACCGGTTTTTGAAAAACCGGTTGAAACCGCTAAATATAAGTCTGGTATGAACAGGGTCTTACTTAAGCTAACCTACATACCAAAAATCTCAATGATCTGTCAACTGGTCCTTGAGTTTAACCCTCAAGACAATTTCTAAACAAAAAAGCCTAATAGATGCAGTTCCAGAAGAAGCTGCTAGGTGTCCCAAACTTCGTCCCTAGCCCAATACCTACCTAACAGCCAAATTTCCTGATTAGATCATGATATATCAAAACCGGACCTTCTGCTGCAGTACCATAACAAACCCCCAGGCGGCGCCAACGTCTCATAATTTCGAAGTCTCATAAAGACTCCATTGTACCCGCCTACCACGTTTCATGACAATTCATCATCATGCCCGTAGCCACATTTCATGACAATTGTTGCTAAACCACATGTACTGTAACACACACACACACACATATATGCACGCACACATACAATTACAAACACATGTTACAAAGTAGATGTTGTCTAACATGACAAAGTAAGATTTCTGATGCTTACTGTTGCCTTGGTCCAGGATTCTCCTCCACATCCCCTGCAAGCTTCAGCATGAGTTGTGAGATGACCATCCACACCAGCAAACATGATGTCATCCACACCAGCAAACACGGTGCCTCTGGCGAGCAGCACTGGGAGTAAAACCTCAGGTTCCTGAAGCAGCCTATCTGGGCCCTGTAGGTGCACAGGTCAACCCCCATCCTGACGCCACAGGGGAGCTGTGGAGTGGAGGGGGAAATATGTAGCATTCTCCATGCTTGAAATGAAATTGTGTTAATCTCGTGTATTACAGTCAACCTTGCTCAAGCAACCGCTATTTTTCTCGGTTCCGATGTTTTTTTTCCGAGACCCATAAACTTCGAAATCTGCGTCTTGTCGCCATGCTGTTTTGTAAGACAAAGAAGACCGCTTGTCTAAGAAGGACAACTTTTCATTGGTCCCCTGGCTCAGACAAGTTGTACAAAATTACCTCCATGAAAATGGAGGTATTGTTTTTGGCTCGTCTGTGTGTGTGTGTGTGTGTGTGTGCCTGTGTGTGTGTCTGTCTGTGTGGTTGTGTTTCCGCACATTTGTGGCCAGCATAACTTAATAACGCCTTTATGGATTGTGATGATATTTGGTATGCTGGTAGGTCTTAGGAAGACGAAGGTCAAGGTCAAATATAGGCCTCCTGGTGGATGACCTTGGTACTGCAGCAGAACTTCCGGTTTTTGTATCTTTTGTCCTGAACATGCTATGGTCTTGATGTTTTGGTGACAGATTGCTTTTCCTGTCAGGAATAATTGGTGTGAGTTTGGTCCCCCTAGCAGCTTGTTCTGGAACTGCAGGGCACTTTCTGGCGAAATGTTTAAAAGCCAATAAGTCCAGATAGGAACAACATATTTTCATAATTTTTGGTGTGTAGGTAGCTGAGAGAGAGATGTACATGATTAAATGCAAATTATGCAAATGAGGCTTTTTTTGCATAATTAATGAGGAAATTCTATAATTACAGTGTTTTACATTATACTACTTTCATACATGTAATGTATGTAACCTATGGCAGGCAGAACATCAACAGATACTAATTATGCAAATGACGACCTAATTTGCATAATTTATGCAAAAATTCTATGATTTCTTAATGGTGAATGATGGGAATCACTTAATCAAAAGTTAACATACATCATGATGCATATATCATGTTAATGCAGAGGTAATTTGCATAATTAAAGAAGAAATTTACATTTACATATCAAGTCCATATTTCATGGAGGTATGAAATCTCGGAATTCTTGTTCGTTCCTTTATTCACGTTTGCGGTTTGCGATGACTAAACCGAAAGCCTGTACAGGCTGCCAGTGAAGGGGCATGATGGTCCTTACGGCCCCGGGAAGTGCGGCGTGACCCTCTCGTCACCACCAGACGCCTCAGACAGCGACGCGGACAGGCGCCGTGCTGACAGGGCCCGGCGGTCTCTGCAGAAGCTCCGGCGGGAGAGCCGAATCAAAGACCTGGCGAAGGGTCTCTGGTCAGAGGCGAGCGACGGGGAACAGGCAACTGTACGTGACCTCCGTGAAGACATGGTCTTGGCCAGACGTGTCGAGCAGACTTTGGACGAGATCTTCGGCAAAAAGAAATCGCCAGCGTCATCCAAGAAAAAGGTCCGGATCCCGTCAGACGACGACAACCTCTCGCGGTCGAGCTCTTCTTCTCCGGTGGCTCACAACTCTCGCCGCCCCCTCGTCACCTCCTCGTCGGAAGACAGAGCGAAGGCCCGTCGCCACAGTTCCCGACACCGCGTCTATCCCTCGTCGGCCAACAAAGCCAAGTCTGACCGCCCCACTACCAGAAGCCGACGGAAAGGCAACGGGTCGCGCCGATACCGTGCCACCGACTCGGACAGTACGTCGGTTTCGTCTTCGTCGCCGCGCAGGTCCCGCCGCCGAGGTAAGGGCAAGAAGAGTGGCCGCAATAGGACTATCAATGATTGTGTTTCGGGCTGGGCTAAAGTGGACTGGCCAAATCATCACGTACACTTCCCCGGCAAGGGTAAGAAAGGTGATGGTTGTGTCACGTTCGATGATTTGTCGACACCTATGTTCACGTATGGATATGTCAAAAACCTCATCGAGAAGAAACGGGTCGAGGGATCCCTAAAGGTTAAGCTCCAACATCTCGTTGATTTGATGTTTGATGCTGCGTACTACGAATGGGATGTCGTGCGGGAAACACATGCCGCCGCCCAAAAGAACCGTTTTTTTCTGTAGCCTTAAGGCTGCAGAACGCAGTATTTTATTGCTCCATTAAAACAAATAGTCCCAAAAATATTCAAAACTTCATAGAAATGTTAATATGAAAGTTCTGAGGCAGATTTGCCCAATATTATAATATCGATCGGTGTGCAGTATTTTACAAAGGAACCTGAGGTTTGCCCGGGACATGGAATCAAACATGCCCGGGAGGCGTACGGAGTAAGGCGCATGGATATCACAACTGCCTGTCAGGGTGAGTCGGCTGCTGTTCTGTGGACCTTCGCTGGGCGCAGTGAAAAAGTGGGCGTGACACGCCGGTCAAACCACAACAGTCATTTTGTAGATTACACTCGAAAGTGGCACATTTTTCTTACTTCTCTTGCACCTACATATGATTTGAACCGCGGCGTTGTCAGCCTCAAAAGCGATTGTCTCGGACTGCGACTCGCTGGAGCAGGTGTTGTTAAGGGTTCAAAGTGCAGCCACTTGTTGGGTCTTGTCGCGTGTGTCTAGTTTTCCCATGGTGGGTCGTTCGCCGCTGTCACACTGTTTCTCCTTTCCTTCCGTGTCATACGCTCACCCACAAATGCTTTGTACGACTAAAGGACGCACACAATGTTGATATTTGTATGTTACTTTTACTATAAATGACTACTGAGAGAAAATGCTTGATCCCCTTTATGACAGTTTTCTGAACGAAATACAGCTAATAACCATAAAACTTCAGCGCAAGAAGCAGAGTACAAAAAACAAAAACTCAAAATTGTCATAAAGAGACGCTTATGAAAGTGTTGTTCTTCTATCAGAGACGCCAACAAACAAAACCATCAAAATTCCTAAGCGGACACCGGAGGGGCGTGACCAGTTATAGATAACTACGCTTCAGGAGTTGCTTTGTACCAGGCGTCAGGATGTAATAAATCAAGTTGAACCAAAGACAAAAACAAAATCCCGCCAGAGAGGGCTTGGCTGGAACTGAGGGTGATGCAATACACCGTGTTGTCTTTCATTTGTCATAACCACCCCGGAAAACACACATTTCAATGCAAACTTGGCCAGATACTGAGAACATTTGGTGTCCCTAAACAAAAGGTTACACGACTCAGTGTTGTTAAAGCGATATCATGTAAGATTTTTGTGCCAAAACTGTAAATATAGATCATAATTGAAATTTTCTAATCTAGATTGTCAATTTCAATAAATTTTAACATATAGCGTCGCTATTTCGCTTTCCAGGCGACTCAGAGCAGCGTGAGAATAAGTTGCGCCAGGCCCACTGTGTTTTTGGGAGGCTCCTAAAATAATGTAAACAAATAGCAGTTTTCGTTCGGGTATCTTCGGCAGGTTTTGCGACGCAAAGACATTGATCTTGTACTCCCCAAATGTCATTATGAACCCAGGTACATGCAGGCTTATACTAGTTATAGCGAAAGAAAATGTGTAAAAGAACGATGCTTACAAATCTCACATAGACATCGGGTTCAAAGTGTTGCGAGTTAGGTTGAGTTTCGGCACTTGTCTTTTTTTATATATTCCAACATATAATCACAAGACGTGGTGACGACACCAACAATACTGCCACCAACACGGGACAATACAATACTCATTTTCACCAGAGCGAAGTGAGGAAAGCCGTGTAAAGTGGGCACAAGATCGGTGGCATGTCAGGACTCGAACCCGGGACGTCTTATTCCGAGTCGAGCACTCTGTCGCTACACCACACGACCCCACATGAATGCAGGAAAACAAGTATACAGCAAAACCAGACGCGCCCACAGATACACCATAAGTAGTCTGTTTGGGTGTTTTAGCCTAGAAAAGGATACTACTCAGGGTTCAAAATACCCAGGCACTCTCGCCACACAAGGCATGTTTTCTGTGCGAGACTTACTGGAGATGCTTGTAGCTTGGTTGCCTGGTGCACTGTTTTACTTAGTTATCACCTTTTTTTGCATATATATACAAAGCGATGTTTTAAAGTTTACATCAGCCCGGCTGACAGTTTCTGAAATACACTGACGCATCCTATCTCCGCCAGCATGTGGCCGATACTTTTACAGGAGGCTGGCTTACAGCTTGCCTTCTAAAATAAACTTTTGGTGTTGACGGCAACCTGAAATATCGATGGGCAACCTGCCTACCTGCCTAAGTGCACAGGCCAGGTACTGGCCCCTTGCTCCCCTCCGTCAGGCTCCTCCAACCAGTTCTGTCAAGGGCGATAGTCTCTGCTACACTTAGAGTAATCCCTGTGTCACTCTGGATCTGATCTAGCTTCTGAAAAAGTATTTCTAACCCTGGGACTGACTGAGGGGAAATGTTTAAACTCACGTTTATGTCAGCAGGTAGGAAAACAGTTGGCCTTGTTTGAGTCTCGAAGTTTCTCGCTTTGGATCTTGCTTCTTTCTTCTTTTCTTGCCCTCTTCCTTCCTCAAGATTGATATGTCACGTCCTTCCAGAAAACTTCCTTTTAGAGCGAATTTTCTCTGCCGCGGATCGTTCGGAAAGACTAGGCGGGGCCGGGCGAGCGAACTCGCGACCGGGAAAGGCCCCGGGCCCCGCCGCTCTACCCCTCAACTGGGGGACCCGAGTTGGTGACGGTCTTGCTCAAGTCTTGACGCTCTTTCACCGGACTTTGCCGGTTAAATCTTGTTCCGCCACAAGAAGACCTCACGCCCGTCAAAAGCTAACCGTCCCCTGTCCTTCTGTGTTTTATCGGGGAAACTTCGGGGCAAAACGGGCCGAGCCCGGCCGTGGCCGGACCCTGGGACTTAAGCCCTGCTAGTGACGGGCCGCGCTAACTTGTTACACCACCTTAAACAATGGGTAGCTGTGAGTCTGTATCTGCCTCAGGCTGTGTCTGCCTGGGCGTGTTGAGGATCTGACGTCAGTCAACTGGTCTGTGGCCTCAGGC